CCCGGTTTCTGGTGTCCCACATTTGGGTCCCGATACTTTGACAATTCTGTTGTTCAAACTGTTTAACTGTGTTTGAATTAATGTTATTACTACAAGCAGACAGGCCAAATTATTGGTAAATTGGGTGCTTTTGTTTTGAAAAGGTGTTATTCCTGGTGCATCCCATTTTATGTTTGTACCCTGTATCATGGTTGCAAGTTATATTATATGACTGAGCAAATCCAAGTCTCATTTTGTTTTCATTTTTCACTCTTGCCCTCCTTTGAATGCATGCCCTGCTGTGAACATTTTGTATTTCTTGTTAAATTCAAAGACTTGGCAAGTCACTGTCACACCCATTTAACCTTTTACTTCCACAGCCAGTACAGATGATCCCACCTCATCTTGCAAAAGTCAAATCATAAATTTGATGGTGAGGTTAGCGGTCAGCAGGGAGCCTGATAAATCCAATCCTTCTACATGAATAGCAATAAGTTTGGCTTATCTGTGCACACACTTCAGTGGAAATTTTGAAAAGAATGAAGTGAAGATACGATTGTTTGAACCAATTAGTCAAGTGTCACAGATTTTGTTTATATGCTTGCGCTTGTTGAATGTTTTGAGAAGAGGAACCAGCTTTTGCAGCTACAGTAACAGCTGTTTTTAGATGTCTAGAGTAACTAATCTGCATCTGAGCGCCTCAGCCAAGTTGAGGGTCCTATTCAGGGAAAGCTCAGTCACCCTTTGTTATAAGGTGAGATCTGTGAACACTTAGAATGGGTCTGAAGAGGATCTCAGGGCTCAGACTGAACAAAGAACATTGTTTTATTTTGATCCTGATTTATTTAGGTATTTATTTGGCAGGACATAGGGCTATAAGCTTGTCAAATTGCTGACTCAGTCTCAGAGGTGTTAGGATTCATTTATGCCGTTAAAGCATATTTTGTTTTTATAGTATGCCTAAAAATACGCTTTTGAAAGTTTAATATTTTACTTATATAACATTCTACTATATCATTAGTCTCAATGGAGTGTTGGAACAAGCTGATTCAGAATACACGTTTAAATAGGATGTCTCCAACTTCAAAGCTAATTAAGTATCTAAATATAAGCTGAAAACAAGGGTTTAGGGTGGCGATAATCAGTACACCAACCCTTAATTGGTTGCTTGCGTGACAGTTAATTATACAGGCAATGGCCATTGCATACATGCTACAAGCCACTAATCAGTCCCTTGCAGGGTTGCCAGTTTTGTTTTGTGTCTGGCTGTCTGCCTGACTGGAGCAGCACAATGGGACAGTTGATGATGAAAGGTAGATAGATTATGTTTTCTGATTTTGGCTTCCAAGCATGCAGATGTTTGCATATATCATATTTTGGATGATTTAGACAGGTGAAGACTGTCAAACTAACACTGCTCATTCATTCAGTAGTTAGGTTTCTGCAAGCAGAACTGTCTTATGCTAACAGAAACTGGTTCACTAACAGGATAAAATGGACACTTTTCATCAGTGATAACAAAGAAGTTAAAGGGTGGAGGTCTGAGGAAAATGTACTTTGAGGCATATTCATGGGTTTAAATTTCAATTGTACAGTACAGTACAATTTGTATAACTTATTCTCTCCAGGAAATGCAGGTAGCTACTAATTTTGTCTCTTTATCTGCATGCTGCTTTGGAAAAAGAATTCATTCTATCACAACTGCGAGTGTGAAGGAGGTCTAGTGTATAGTTTATTCAGGGTTAGATGATTTTGGTTGCCTAATATTGCAGACACAGAAATGGTTTTATATTTTAGTCAACTGCCATCTCCACAGAAAAGCTAGTGCATAGTTGCTTAACAACCAGCAACATTCATGCAACTGGAACCAAATGTAATTATTCGTGTATTTAATTTTATTTAGAACATAAAGGAACATGCTGGTCCAGTATGAAATCCGTCTGAACCTTAGACTTGTCAGTTTTTGTCCCAGTGATCAGATGATCAGAGCTCTCAGCAGGAGCACTGTTTTATATAGACATGATAACACACATTATGACTTTCCACTACATCTGGATCAGACCCTGTGGGTATTATAAACTATTTCTATTCAGACAATGAATCAGTTGTTGCTGGTCTGTAGAAAATTGTATCCTATTCTTCTGTGCTGGCAAGTTTAGTCTTATACTGAAGTTACACCTTATAAATATTGGACTTCGCTTCCCAACCGTACAAAGCTAAAGGCAGGGGTTGATCCATCAGGTATGAAGCATCTACAACAGTAAAAGAACTCCATCAGAGCATTGCTGATGTGCACGCCCATGCAATTATTACCTTAATGTCATAAAATCATAAAAATGATTTAATGCAGAAAATTGCATTAAAGTGTGAATTAAACAGATTTAACAGAAATTGTCTTTATAATAAATAATTAGCTGCTAGCCCAGGGGCAAACAGGAGAATGGAAGAAATTCAACACAGGAAAAGCAAACTGCCTCAAACATGGCAAAACAAGCTGGATGCTGTACCAGGTGGATCTCATGGAAATTCACCAGAAACACTTTCTACTGTGCTGTTTATCAAATGCTAAAATGCTAAAGTAAGACGGTGAACAAACCCGCTAAAATATGAATGTTAACACTACCATGAAGAATGACTCTGATAAATAACTACTTTGTCAAAATAAAGACAAAAAATATATTTTTACTTTTACATGTTTAAAATATTTAATAACAAAAATTAATAAATAAATAAAAACTTTCACATTTAATTTTTATAATTTAGTGAATCTCAGGAAATTCTATTACTTTTATGGCATTTTTGCAAGACCAGCACCTAATCAAACTTGGGGACTACATTTGTGGTACAGTATTTAATTTGGAACACATTAGTGTGGGCATGAGAATAGCAAGATCTGCCCCAACTGGAGTCACTTTTAAAACTAAGCTAAAGGCTGTTGATTTTTCTGCTGCTTTCAATTAATGCTACCTAATTCCATGCAAGGTTGCACTTTATCTGTTTTTATTTTTCATCCATTACTTGGTAAGAAACTGACTTCACTGTGCTGTTTAGCTGACTGTATAGACACTGGTGCTTGTAATTCCCAGAAGGAAGGAAGCCACCTCTCATGTTCAAGTACTCATAGGTTTGTCCATGGAAGACTGAAGTAAAGGGGTACAAAATATAATGAGAACAGCGAGAATGCACAGTCTGCCACAGCTATACCAAAATATGGAGGTATGTTCTCATACATGTTGCTACTTGTACTGTCATGTTTTATCATCATAATTTTGTATGACTTACCTCATGACTTGCTTGACTTATGGGTACTCGACTTGACTTGCGTGTCACCACAGTAACTTGTGACTTGATTTAGAGTTGAAGGTTAAGACTTGAGACTAGCGTATGACTTGCACATAAGTGACTTACTCCCACCTCTGGGTAATATCATAAACATCATACTCAATGATTTTCAGACATTGTCAATGACAGTCCACAACGATGTGCAAACATAATGCAGAAGTGGATAACTGGAACAGCGTACTGTCATGTGACATGCATCTTAAGAATGAAGCAATATTTCATATTTGAAAAGCAAAGTGGGCTGAGGTACTGCTACTTAGAGAAAATTACATATCATCCAGCTGCAAATTACACGGGGGATACACAGAAGATGGCCACCTTTCTTAACACATTGCATGTTCTGGTCAATAGCAAGCAGTATGTTTTCTTTTTCTCTGTAATCAGTCACTTGCCAGCATCATTGCTACATCATGCTTCCACAACAGCTGCATGCACACCACTGTTTAGGCACCACAGAACTGTTCTCTTTGCCTCCCACAGCTTCCCATTTACATAAAGAGGCTGTAGACAGCCAGCCAAGCACACATACAGACAAACAATTAATATCATTAATGTTACTGGAGCAACCGTTCATGAGGCCCACAGCGTTTCAATACACACTAAAGAAATGCACACTTAAATACATATAACCCACTATAGCACAATATAACCCCTGTAATGTCAAGCATAAACATACTATGAGCAAACCTATCCCAACTACACACACATACATACACACAGTCTCCCTCACCCTATCTCTGCCTCTGCTGGTGTTCACAATTCCCATTGAGTTTATGCTTCCTGAACCCAATTATGCCCAACTAGCAAATTAGCCACCATTAGCAGGGCACCAGCACACACCATCAGGGGAGATAGTGAGGCCTTTAGCTGATCTTATAACCTGCTTTCCTGCTCACCAACATACTGATTAGCTTCTAATTCACACTGATGCACAGGGAATTGCTGCACCTCTAGTTATTATTGTCAAGTGTTACAGTGTGGGGGTTTCAGCTGCTTTTTTTTTCAGGCATCTGGCTCATGCACGTCTTACGAGACAAATATCCTTCTATTTTTTTCAACAGCTCAGTACTGCCTGAGTGCCTCCTGCATAGACACACACACAGCACTGGACTTGGCTGTTGCTGCACAACACACCTTCTGTGTTAGCTGCAGATGTAAAGATATTAGATGGCTTCCACCTATGATTTTACTGTTCTTATCTTGAGTTCATTTGGTGTCCTGTCACTGTATTTCAGGTTTTCAGAAGTGGTTGAGCAAGCTGCATTGACTGTGTACTTCATACATGGTAAACCCAACAGGGGAGACACATTGGTGCTCTTACAGATCACCATGCAGCAGTAAAACAGAAATCCAAGATTCTCTGGGCGCACATGGACAAAGGTGTTGATTGCCTTCTGAAGTGTATGTTACCATGTGAGATACAGTATCTGTTTGTTTCTTACTGTGATCTCAAAAGGCTGTTAAAATCTGGAGACAGAAAGGGAGTGGTTTGTTAGGGGTTTGGACTTGCTTCCTGTTTTGTACTTTTATTTTGTAAGGGTTCCCTGTTTTGTGCCATCTCACCTGACTCAGCTTTTTGCCGGTTCTTGATTACATTGCCTTCACCTGTTGCTCATTATCTCCTAGTCTATAGCCTTTATATCCCCCCTCTCCCAGAGACTCTGTGAGGGCCAGTGCACATGCTGGGGGATAGATGTTTACATCACTTTCAGTGCTATAGCTGACTCATGCACTGTTTCGCATGGTAAATAATATATAGGGACTAACTGAAACTGCTAAGGGTGAAACAGCTTTTCCTCAACAGGGAAGACTACCCAGCCACCAAAGTGGTAGGTAGTGAACCACATAACATACTATACCTCACAACCACCGTGTCATACCATTATGGGTGAAATGCAGGGTTGCCAAAAGAAGCATCTACAAAAGCAAAATACGCAGAGTTTAACAGATAAATAAAATAAAACTAGAAGCAAACAGAATATATAGAACATTTGTAAAACCTATTTTCTGTTGAGAGAATACTGCCAACCTTTGAGCATAATTAGACATTCACAGGAGGAAATAATCAAATCTAATAAATACTGAGATCCCAGTATATCACTCACACCTGGCTAAAGCTAATGCAGTCTAATTGAAAAGCTTATATACTGTAACTGGCCACTTTAGGTGCATCTGTACAATCTGATTTAATCCAGTAAGACAACCCTACCACAAGGATTGCCTTTACTCAGCTCATCATATCCACTTTTTTGTTGACATGTCATTTGAGATGTGATATTTCAATTAAATGTTAATTACTGAGGTCTTTACGCTGTGATATGTCTCTAATAATGTGCCCTCTAACATTATGTAAATAGACTGAACACATCTATTTGCTGTAGAAACATGTATAGATAATGCTAGATAGTACCTGATGCATGATGGGAAGGTCTGAGCATGCACTACGAGCCACAGTGATGCAGAGGTGGTGGTGGAGGAGCTAGGAGAGAGAAGGTCTGTTGTTCTGTGCCTAAGAGCACCGCAGCACTGGTTGTATGACATGCTCTGTCGCTCAAAGCTTTGCAACACCACATTAAAATAAACTGCAACTCCATTAGCTGTGCAATCAAGTTACCAAGCTATGTAATCAGACTTTAAGATCCTAATGTTAGCAAACTGACTTTATGAGTTTCAGTAAGTCTTTTGTTCATTTCTTTTTCTTCTTCACTTAACTTAAAGTTTATTTTATTTGTCTATTTTATATATGTTCTACACATTCTACATAGCAGAGCAGCCTCTTCGATCCACTGGCACTGGTCTTTTAGTTGTTGTGTAGTAGAGGACAAAACCTTCAGTGGTACAGCCTTTAGTTTTTATGCTCCAAAATGTTGGGACAGTCTGCCTGAACATGTTTTAAAGCATAAATCTAAAATCGACCTTTTTAATGTGGCTTTTGATTAGAACTTTTTACTGTCACTATTTATTCTGGATTACTGTATTATTATATTATCCTATTTGAAATCTATTTTTTATGTTAGTTTAATGAATTTTACTGGTTATTATTTTATATTTACAAATTTGTTTTATTAATTTTTTTGTCTTCTTCTGCCTTATTCACTTTGTATCTGTAAAGTACTTTGAATTGCATTAACCTATATGAAAGGTGTTATATATTGTAAAAAAAAATAATAATAATAATAGAGCTTGATAGTGAATATTCCTCTGACAGTTGTTTGTCAGCGTGAGTTCTCCTTTCATTAAGTGTCACATTGGCACTTGCTGCAATATGGAAATGGAAAGAAAATTCAGTTATCTAGCTTTGTTGGTGCATATTAATTATGCTTCAAAGAGGAAGCAGCAATGGATGGTGCGGTTATGGACTTAAATAGATTATAGAGCTACTGGGTGAGTGTAAACGAGTGATGACTGCGGGTGTTCACACACTTGTTAAGGAAAGTGGTGGTATTACAAACATGTGTTTAACAAAACTATAAATGCACTGTTACAGTCTAATGGAAACCCATTACTCCAGTGGTCAGAGAGGCTTTCAGAGACAGGCTTTGAAACTCAGAGATGCTGAAGTGACTGTGGTCAACCTTTGGTTTGGAGGTCAGTGTACACACACACACACACACACACACACACTGTGCTGCAAATAACTAAGAGGAGGCATAAGTAGTGTAACCATAAGATGGGGTGGCACTGTAGAGCAATGGCTCCCAACCTTTTTCCTCACTTCTTCTTCACCATCAGATGTTTGCAGTCTTCTGGTTTCACACCAGTCACTTGAAGTTTGAAAATAAAAAATATTCTCTGGGCATGGCTGTTAAATATGGGGCTAGTGGACTCGATACGAGCACCAGTCAGGATAGATGTAAATAAGTTAAAGTGGCATTTAAGGACCTCAAAACACAGCTAAAGGCTGGCACACAGTCACTGGAGGTCTCTGAATACAAGTAATGCAAGAAACAAAAGCTCAGCTTTGTTTGCAATACAGTCACTTAGCATCTCTGAACACAAGAAAACACGTGAAACAAAGATAACAGCTCATAGCTGGCAAACCATCTCATATATTCTCTGAAAGCAAAACTAGAATGACCTCAAGGTGAGTCCAAAAACAAGAGCATAATCCATAATTATGAGTGCGCAGTGACAAGGCATGAAGCACTGACAATGACTGTCTATGAAGCCAGCCTTAAGCCTTAAGAGCAGGCTGGTGATTAGTCTGAATAGACTCCATCTCTGTCCAGTCAACCACCGGCAGGGCAAAGAGGAAGCTCACCAAAATAAGAGCCCAAAAACAGGAAGCAGCAGAACAGCCAGTGGGATGACAGTGGCATTAGAAAGACGTTTCTACTCATCTCTGAGCAGCTACAGATGGGGACACGGGTTATCTGTTAAATGACAACAATTTAACCTCCCTCATATTCATCACTTGCAAAAATTAATTTCTAAAATTTATGTCTATGCATACAAGGGCACCTGTTAAGTATTTGGGGATTTCTGAGAACACTCTTTTTTTCCTGGAAGCAGTGAAATGTGAGTAATACTGGTATACAGTATGTATTGCCAATGTGTGATCAGCGATGGGGAACACTTGACATAACCAGCCAAAGGGTATCTGGTTTGAACTGACACCCTGAGGTTGAGATGCTATCTAGAAAGGTAAGTGCTTACCAGACATGCTTTCTCATGGCAAACCCCACTCATATTTACACTGTACAGATAGTACAGGGTTTGATAAAGGTCTGGATGTACTTGCAGCCCTCTTGAACACCAGATATACCAACTTTTCTTACAATTTATTTTGGGGATAGTAAAGGCAGAAAATACAGCAGAAACCACTCCAGCAATTTCTATTTTAATCTGATAACACCTACAAAGATGTTTGAAATCATTATGATGGGAAAGGCATTTGACATAGTTTTCCTCACCCCACAATGATGTGGTATTGCTTCTTTCCATAAATATTTGCTGAGCCATTCATGAGAAGCACACTAATCAATATCTGTTTCTATTCCTTCCCTCTCTGTGCAGATTTCAAAACAAGTTTAGGCTAAGGTGATATCACAGATAAAACAAAGTCACCTGAAAGTAATTCAGACTTTGCCACAGGAAACTAAACTGTCTGTTAACTCTGTTCTCTGAAGGAGATGTGCTGCAGAGGGGAAGAGATATAAAGTTCCTCTTCAGGGTTAAAAAAAATAATCACTACATCCAAACTTTTCTAAGTTTTACAGTGTTTGTGTGAGCAACTGAAATGTGTGTAATTCTCTAGTTGTATCACAACACTTTTCTTTGTTCATTAAATCACTTCCATGCTGTGTGTTGGCATCAGGTTGCTGTGATGTCGTCATTGTTACTGCTAGTTTCATGGACTCACAGGCTTAAAGTTTTAATTATAGTCATCTTAACAAGACCAGACTTATGCCAACTGCAATTAGCTACTTGACACTGCAGAAAACAAGCAGTACTGAGATTTGAGGATTGCAACTATTACAGATACTAATCATAGATATGAAAGCTACTGTACCTTGATTTATGCCCAGTGTCTTCGCAAAATATTTAGACCCATTCATTCTGTGTTTTCAATTTTATTTTAAATTGATAAAATTGCCATTTTTGCCCATCAGTCTACACACAATGACCCAAGATTACAAACTAAATATCTCCACTGAAATATTTCATTTACAAAGTATTCAAACTCTTAATTCAGAAGCCCCTTTGGCAGCAGTTACAGCTTTGAGTCTTCTTTGGTAAGTCTCTACACATGGATTTGGCCAGTTTGTCCCATGTTTCCTGGCAGATCCTCTGAAGCGCCATCAGATTGGATGGTAAGTGTCTGCCTACTGCCATCTTCAGGTCTCTCCACAGATGCTAAATGAAGTTTAAATCTGCGTTTTGTCTGGGCCACTCGAGGACAGTCAGAGACTTCTCCCAAAGCCACTCCAGTGTTGACTCGGCTGTTTGCTTCAGGTCAGTGCCATGATGAAACCTCAGACACCACCAGTGTGTCAGGCTGTGTGCACTCTGAAGCAGGATTTCCTCCAAATTCACTTTGCATTTAGCTGCATTCATCTTTCCTTCAATTCTGGCCAGTCTCCTTGTCCCCGCTGTCCCACCCCCAATAGCATGATGTATCCACATCGTGCTTTACCATAAGAATGGGATTAGCCTGGCACTCACCAGACATAGTGCCTGGAGTTCTGCTCAAAGGGTGCAGTTTTTGTTTTCAGACCAGAGAATCTTTTTTGTCATGTCTCAGAGATTTTTGAATGCTGATTGTCAAACTCCAACTGGACTGTCATATGGCTTTTACTCAAAGTAGTCAGCCATTCTATAATCAAGGCTGATTGATGGATAGCTGCTCAGATGGTTGTCCTTCTGGCAGGTTCTCCCATCTCTACAAAGGACTTCTAAAACTCTGAACATATTTTCTTCCATGATTTCTCAGTGGGTTTATGGACATTAATTTACAATGGACATCTGCGAGATATCCACAGAAAGTGTAAGTAACAATGACTCTCATTGTGTATTAGGTCTGTGTTCTCAGATTTGAACTATGAATTGTGATTTTTGACACAAATTGTGATAATCAACCACTGAAGAGTTTTAACTCCATTTTCATCCATTTAAAAGAACACAATAAAATGTGTAAAATAGGATAAGGATAATCACCTTTAGCCCTGCAATGGATTGGCGACCTGTCCAGGGTGTACCCCGCCTTCGCCCGATTGCCGGCCGGGATTGGCTCCGGCCCCCCCTCGTGACCCCGCTCAGGGAACACACGGTAGAAAATGAATGAATGAATGAATAATCACCTTTACTGGCCAAGTATCTTACACACAAGGAATTTGTTTCTGGTACAGAGCCAATGGCAGCCATCTGCAGCGCCACCTCAACTGATGGCTCTAACCATCGGGGGTCTTGCCCAAGGACACTTCAACACATGGACTGCCAGCACCGAGATTCAAATCTTCAGCCTTCTGGTTGGGAGATGACTGCTCTACCCACTGCACCACTGTGTCGCGTCCCCAAAATAAAATAAAAACAACACAACAAAGTGTTAACACAGCAAACTGTTTAATTCCAGGACAGAACTGAGTGGCAGCAAATGGTCTTGTTTTTCTCTGTCAGGCCTCTTTCAGAAGAGCAGTGAAAGCACATGTCATCAAGTTAGTACACTCAAGATGTCAACCCACTTGACATATGGGCTGATTCACTGTTTGGAGGACAGGTGATGTTTACATGCTGGAATGTGTTTCTGATGTGCAACCCAAACTGCTCCATCTTTCAGATAAACAACCTCACAGTCATGTTGGCCCAGTTTCTGTGGAGGTCAGGCCCAGGCCTGCAGCTCTCAGGCTCCGGAGCCTCCTGAAAGTCTCACTCAGGTGCCAAGAAAGCAAAGAAAGAACATGCCAAGATTTTTTTTTTCTTGTACTGTTTAATTTTTTCCCTTCCTCTCATTCCTTAAACAGATTTAATGGGTGCTGTGTGTCTCAGGTGACTGTAGAATATGGTTGATTTTGAACAAGCACTCTGCTGAATTGTGACCTACAGTAATTGTGGTGGGGAGTTGTTTTCTTGGTTTCAAGGTCCTTTAATTTAATTTATTATCATAACTGTGATGCTCAATTTTTTAAATGAGATGGCTCTAGAGTTAGTCATGGCACATGTGTAAATAAAAATAATGCTTAATGGACTTTTTTGTTCAGTGATGTGCATTTAAATGGAAATTAAACATTTGGTCAATGGAAAAATGCATTAAGTGGTTAAGTGGTTTGATTACCGGCCAAGATGCGTTACAGTGAATCTTGTCTTTCTCTAAAACTGGTAACACCAACATAAGATTACACTTTACAATTAATCCATGTTGCTGTGAAATTTAGTAAACCATAATTTATGACCAAACATATGTGAAACTTATCAACCTCAGCTGTACTTCAGTATACTTTAGCTTTTAGTACTTGCTGTATTACTATGCTAAGGTGATACACGTGGTAAACATTATGTTAACTTAGCACAAGAAATTAGAAAAAGATAGCTACTAAATACTCTCCTCCTCTAAATAAACATGCATTGCCATTAATATTATTTATTATAAAATAAAACTACATAAAATGTAATGTCAAAGCTTTTTATTTTTGAGTGTGACAAACAGAACATCTGTGCTTATTTCAGCTCAGCATTGCAGGCCCATCTCAGACAGAACATTACATCAGCCCAAGTAGATGCACAACACTATTATTCAACTTTTAGGTGGCACTCTATGGTGTTGAAAATGTAAATATTGTGACCAGTTATCCATGTGACAACTAGCCCCTAACAACCCCTTGATCAGTATCACCATGTTAGCATTGTCATTGTTAGCATGCTAACACTAGCATTTAGCCAAAAGCAGCACTGTGCCTAGATACTAGACTAACATGGTCTAATTAACAGTGTTCAAACTGTTCTATGTATCATATCCTTTGTGTTAAGATTAATTACAAGTTACAATAAGTACACAGAGTATAAAAAGTGGCTATATTACAACCAACATCAGTAGGCATATGTGTTTTCCCTTAAAATGGGTGCTTGGCAAAGAAATACAAGTCTAATCTAATTTTCATACTGGTCAATGTGCTTCTTGCCAAATTGTCAGAAGATGAAGGTGGGTTAAACCAGTGTACAAGACCTCTGACAGCATCTGCATTCACCCTCGAATCACGTGCTGTTTAGCCCAGGAACACTAATTAAATTTGGAATCCAATTATGGGAATGGTAATGAAATTTCCAAATGGGGAAACTCGTAATCTGCTCATTGAGGTGTTTAATTACAAGCCGGTCTGTGCATTGCAGATATGTTACACCCCTGGATTTAGCGGACAGAGACATGGACCCAAGTTTGACAGCATGGGTGTTTAAGAGTGATAGAAGAAAATGCTGCAAACAAGTGTTTGTTAAGTGTGTGTCTGCTGGTAAAAAGGCAGGTGGTTCTGGGCTGCGGGAACACTGTTGAGCCTTTTCTGTGTTGTGGGCCAAACTCAGTGACCACTTACAGCACCACTTTCTGAGAGGTATCCCACCTGATCAAGCTGAAATCTTACCTGCACGCTCACATTAATGCTCAAAATCATTTTGGCACCATGTTGTGGTAGTTGTAAGTAGTGTTGTGTATCAAAATTTGATACTTTTATGACATTGATTGAATTACTTAAAGTTGTGGTAAATAGGTTTAATTTATATGCTATGAATCTGCTTTGAGTGCACAAAATCTAAATTGAAAAATAAAGCTTATATGTGGCGGGCCGTCAGGGCCAGCAAGGCATTCTCTGCTGGCCTAAACACTATTAGAAGCACTGACCTACATTTACAACCGAAATTCTAATATTTGTTCCATGAAATTGTATTAATTTATTCCCAACCGTCTGTTCTCTTCATTTCGTAGTATTTCTCTTGGCTGCACCGCTTCCAGTACGTGTATATGGATGTTAGATTGTTTGTCCAATCAGATTTCAGCTTCTATGTGTTGCCATGTCAATCTAATCTGCCCAGGGTCTTCAGAATCAGAAGTGCTGGCCCATGTAACTTAAACTATATTAGCAATGGGACTCTTTCTTTAACCAATCAG